TACACACAGCTTACCTGGCCTCTCATGACAGCAATCTGCTTGTGAAACTGTCCCCTGTCAAAGCCAGGATCTTTCTACAAGAGAGAAAGCAGAGAACATAGTGGGATCCACCTGCTGCCCCAGACTGCAAGAGATGCCTATTCCCCAAGCAAGCCTGCCTCTCCTCCTGTCCCATGGGTTTCCTGCTTCTCCCCACACTGAATCTTCAGCTCCCAGCAGAGGGATAACCCTGCTATGCCTCAGCCCAGAAACACTGTCAGGAGCTTGGCCACCTTTCTGTCCCCTGCAGCCTTGACATGGAGCTCCCCAACACCACCCATGCTTTTCTTCCTCCCAAGCCATCCTCACCCGCTCCCTCAGCTCACCTTGAAGAGCTCATACAGATCTTCCTCCAGGTCCTTGACAAAGTTGGGGTCTGAGATCTTGGGAAGGATCAGGTCCTTGATCTCCTGTGAAAAGGGGATTTTGGCCTGGGGCAGCCATGCCCAGTAGAATGGATCTGTGGGAGGAAGCAGGAGATATTAGAGCTGGGGAAGGCAAAGGATGGTGCTACATGCCCCTGGGTGCCAGGTCAGCTGTGTCTAGGACACAGGGTCCAGCACCCGCTTCTTGCAGCCTCTGCTGAGGCAGAGTTTCCCATGAACCCAGAAGGTTTGCAGAGGGACAGCACTAGCCCTCTCCTCTCCACCCCCTGAGAAGGATGCCCGAGTACAGAGTTGTATGGCTTGCCAAGGTGCCCTGGCACAGCCTGAGGGTCTCACATGCTCTCCAGGAGTCCGGGTGTTTCAAGGGAAAGGCCAAACCGTTGTCTATAGCAGCCAGCTTGATGATGGGCTCCTTCACCACCACCCAGTCGCTGTCCTGGAAGGAAGCCAAGCATGTCACAAGGAGGCGCCCCCAGCAAGAACAGTCCCTCTCCCACTCCCTGCAGCCCTGATACCACAGACGCACAGCAGCCTCTCACCCATTGCGTGGCCCCTTGCCCACAGGGAAACATTGTCTGCTTCTGGTGGGAGGGACACAAAGCTGCTTCCCCACTCCAGGCCTCACCCCAAGGATGCACAGGTCCAGCAACACCAATTTCTCACACAGAGCCCAGCTGCATCCCCACAAAGTCCCACGAGGCCACAAACCACCAACGCAGAGGGTGACAAAAGGCCCAGGAGACAGAGTCAAGCCTCTGCACACCTGGAAACCCAAGCCAGCTGGGAAACTCCCAGCCCTCCTGCCAAGCAGGCAGCTTGCAGGAGCAGAGCCCCCCGCAGAGCCCCTGCCCAGGAAGAGCTGCTCACCCGCACACCCGCGCTGTCCAGGGGACAGTCGTACTTGATGAGCCAGTTGTCATTGCCCCGATCTGCAGGGAGATAAAACCAGCTGTGTCAGCACCAGGGCCTGCCTGTACCATGCTGGGCAGATTACTTCTCCTCCAACCCAGAAGTGAGACAGACCAGTTTTAAGCCCAACCTCTATGCCAGAACCCTTGAGCTTGCTGCAGGCCTGGCAAGCCACATCAACCCCCACACAACCAGCCCTGGAGACTGGAGAGGTCCACATATCCCCAGCTTGAAAGAGAAAACTCAGCCTGCAAGCCCCAGAGTGCCACCCTGACCCCTTCCAGCCTGGCAGGAACTCAGAAGCCCAGCGTGAGACAGGATATTGGGGCACAGTCAGGTGCTGGATCTCTGGATGTCCCCAGATCCTTGCAAGATGGCAAGATCACCCCAGCATCCTGGCAGATCCACAGCTCCCAGAACACAGGCCAGCAACCAGATCACGGCCATGGTGGTGGGCAGCCACAGCAGCTGCACTCTACCTAGAGGCAGCTGCCACCTGGCAGCAACCCAGTGGTGTTGAGAGGAGTTTTGGGTGCCAGGAAGAGATGCCAAGCCCCTGCCTGCCCCCACTTTCTCCAGCTGGCAGGACATGAAGAAGCAGGCAGCGTCCCACATCAGGCAGCCAGCCCTACCTGTGTTCCTGATGATGTAGTCCAGCACGACCAACCGTTCAAACTGCAGCAGCAGCTGCCGGTTGGTGTTCTCCGGGAGTGGGTCCGCGCCTAAAAAAAAAAACCCCCCCCCAGCCAGTAGTCAGCATCCTTGTAGCCTTCCACAAAGAGCTGGAAGGAGCCCACCTGAAGCAAGGAGAGGCTGCATTACAGGAGGCCGCAGGGGATGGAGGAGCAGCGACAGGCAGGTGTGGAGGCCGGCAGCCCTACCTTGGGCGGCAGACCAATGCGGTTGAAACGCTGGCCAACTTTCGGCACTTTCTCCAGGGCCAGCCTCTTTCCTCGGGACTTCACCCTGTCGATGGCACTGTAATTAAAGGTCTCACTGGCCAGATACACCACCTGGGGGGACAGGAGCACAGATGTCAGCAGGAGCACCTGGCAACTGTCACAGGACTGGCTGATAAAACCAAGACACAGCATTTCCCACGGCTCTGCCCAGCACAAGGATTCCCACATCTTGAGCAGGAGCAGTCCTGGTCCAGAGCTCTCAACACAACACCTCCGAGGTCAGCAGTGCCACCAGACAAAATGCAAGCAAAGCTGTGCGGAAGCACACAAAAGCCTCCCCAGGACAAGATGCCAGCAGCTGTCCCCTCACCTTCGTGCGGGGAACAATGTTGAGTTCCAGTTTCTGGTCCACCAGGCTGGCGCCTGCCTCCGACAGGTAGCCCTGGTTGAGGACAAGGCAGTCTCTCCCAAAGCAGCACGGGCAGCACAACTTCTGCAGCCACTTGGTCCACTTGGGGTTCAGCTGCCCGTACGGCTCCTCATTCTTGGGCTTGAAGACACCGATGATTTTCTGTAAGCGGGAGAGACGAGTGCTGACTCAAGGCAGAGTCAGGACACTCCCCCCGAGTCAGCCCACAGTGGGGACACTCAGGAACGGGCCCAGAATAGCCCCTTGCCTGGGCAATTACCAGCCCCTGGGACCAGGCAGACCTCACAACTCCCAGGAGAGAGGCAGGCAGGGGCTGGGACAAACCCTTCCCCAGCCAGTGCCTTCATACCCGACATACATGCCTGGAAACAACCCTCCTTGTCCCAAAAGACACCAGTGATGATGCTGTCCCCTGGTAAACATCCCAGTCCCACCTCAGTGACCTTTGGATGGCTGGGGAGAGCTACTGCTCACCACTGCTCATTATGTCCACACAGGGGAGGGAGAGGGATAGCAATAGCAATCCCTGCCCTGGCTCCAAAATCCATTGAATGGAGCTGATCTCAAACTGACCAGAGGAAATGGGACCAGAACAGCCAAGCAGCTGGAGGACCCCTGAGGAGCCCACGGCTCTGTGCTGGGGGGCCCAGCTAGAGACAGCAGATGGGCTGGCTCTCTGGGTACACTGAAGGCAAGAGGGCACAGGCAGTTCCAAATTGGCCACCAGCAGCCCCAGGCCCTCAATCCAGCCTCACGCACATCAACCCAGCAGTGGTGACAGCAGCACAGGTACCCCACTGCTGCAGAGGGCACAGAAACCTCATGCTAGGTGCTGCACTGTCACCAAGCCAGCATTGCCAAGCCACACAGCTGAGACAAGGGCCAGGGCAGGAGCAGGGCCACCTGCTCCCCTGAGAGCCAGGCATCCCTGGAGAGCTGTGCAGCAGCTCTGGGCTGGCAGCCCCTGCTCTGGGGTGACTCCTGGTCGTGCATATGACCAGCCCTTCTCCCCACAGCTGGTGCCAACCCTGGCCTGAGTGGGTGGCACTTCCCCAAGCTGAGCTCCTGCCACAACATGAGTTGACATGAGTCCCAGCACCTCAGCAGGGGACCCCAGTGCAATCCTAGTCTGGCAGGAGCCAGCAGCCAGCCCAGGGCAGGCAGGAGCAAGGTTTTGTCCACCAGGAAGAGAAAGAGGAAGAGTTTGAGGGAGCAGGACCACTTCACCCACCCCCAGATGACACGGGGGAGGCCACTTCCCCTGAGCAGGCAGGAAGGCAATCCTCTCATCAGCCCCAAGTGAAGGCACATGACTGCCAACATGTCCTTGGATATGAGCCTGCAAGAGGCTTGTCAGGAGCTCTGGCAGCATGGGGCCCTGTGCTCTGTGGAGCCAGTCCAAAGGAGCAAGGCCCAGCCAGGCAGGGACAGCGTGGAAGCGGAGGCCAGAAGCCTGGCAGCAGAGTGTCCCCTTTCAGACAGACCCGTGCTGGGACCAGCCCTGGCAGGGAACACAGGCCTGCCTGGCGCCAGCAGCAAGACAAAGGGAGCCATGCCAGCCCAGAGGCACAGCCAGCAGTTGGAGTAACAACCACCAGGGCTGGGGAAGCATATACCAGCTGGGACAGCTCAGGCCCCCGTAGCCCAGAGGGAAGCAGACACAAGTTTTTCCCCCAATGCCCTCACCCGCTGCCCGCAACAGCAGCAACAGCAGCATGCTGCACTCTCTCCCATGCCAGCAGCAGGGAGGGTTTGGTGATCCTAGGAAGCAGCCACAGAAACCAGACACACACCACATTTGCTGACAGCAGGGGAGTCCAGTGGACCTGTCAGGTGACACAGCCAGAAGTACACAGACTGGCTCCTCACATGCATCCTCCATCAGCCCTCTTCTACAGCCAGGCAGCCTCTGCCCTGCCACCCCCAGGCAGCTCATCCAGCTGCCCACCCCAGCAACACCACAACTCATACTGGGCAACAGGAGGGAGCAGGAAGGCAGCAGGGCTGTGGCAAGAGGAATTGTGTATTGCCTCACAGCCCACCAGCTCAGCTGGGACCTGCCTGCCATAGCTCCCAGGAGCCAGGCTCCAGCTGGGGCAGGAAAACTAGGGCACACCAGAGGCAAATGAGCCCGGCCCTGCTTCCCAGGAAGCATCCCGGCACACACGTGGCCAGGGAGTCACAGGAAGCAGCAACAGCTCAAGTAATTGGGCTAGGCGCTGCAGGTCACAAGACAAGCCGCCCTGTGCTGCACACACATCCAGTCAGTGGCATGGAGACAGCTGCCACACAGCTGACCAGTTCTATAGGGGACCAGCTATATGTCGAAGACTTTGCCTTGATTATATCAACCGCGCAGCCACAGAGGAGACATCTCACTTCAGCCTCACAGGCCAAAAACCAGCTCAGCTTTCAGAGTCGCAGCCCTAGGGCTGAAGTCACCGTGGTCAGGAGATGCTGATGCACAGGCCTGGGCGAGAGGGTGACCCTTCCTCTTTGGGCACGAAAGCCACAGAAGAGGCTGAAGCAGCAACTGGACACA